AGTGTGGGAAGACAAAGGAAGGCAAAGAGTATCCCATCACTTCCCATCTTATTTCTTTAAGGCAGGATCTCTCCCTGAACCTAGAGCTCACAATTTTGTTTTGTTTTGTTTTGTTTTGTTTTGTTTTGTTTTGTTCAGGCCAGCAACTAGCAAGCCCCAGCACCTTCCTGTCTCCATACCCCTCAGTGCTGCAGTTACAGAGTCCCAATCTTCCTATTCCCGTGCATGAAGAGCCTGTACCTTTAACCAGCTAGCCATCTCTCCCATCTTGCCTTATTTTTCTTGTGGTGGTGGGGAGATGGGGCTGGCTATGCTTCTTTCCTGCTGCTTTTCTCAGTAGACATTCTACCTCTCTGGCATATCCAACTTCCTGGGGTCTCCATCACATTGGCTTCAAAATCACCCGCAGCTTCAAAATGGCTCTCGCAGGTTCTACATGCCAGAATACTGATCCTGCCACACACGGCCTGATTTTCCCAGCCTTCCTTTGAAATATGGGTGGAAGCTATTGGGAAGATTAGTTTTTGTTTTTTGATTTTTGACTTTTATTTGGTAAGTGGGTAAGGAAATGTGATTAGTTTTAATTTTCAGTAACTACTGGTTAATTGAGAAGTTTTCCTGAACTTAAATGTTCTCTGTGTATTCTCAACAGTGAGCTATCTCTTCATATAGTTTTTCTTCTTCTTCTATTAATGTGGTATTTCCATTTTCCAACTGGATTTTTTTAATAGTTGGCTTATGACAGTTCTTCATTTTTTCTAGTTACATGTCTTTTGTTGGATATGTGCCTTGTAAATATTTCCTCCTTAATAGTTATGAAAAATGTTCTCATTAGCTGGTCTTAAAAGGTGCTCCGATGAAGCTGAAGTCAGCTTTGAAAACCGGCCTTCATTACTGTCACTGTAATTGTGACTTATGGGAAGGCAAGTCTGTTGTAAATTAATAGTTACAGTTTGAAGTCTGTGTGGACCAAGAACTGGGCTAGAACCTACAACAGTGGTTCTCAACTTTCCTAAGGCTTTGACCCTTTGACATAGTTCCTCATGCCACCAGGATGCGGTGGTGCACACCTTTAATCTTAGCATTCAGAAGGCAGAGGCAGACTGATCTCTAAGTTCCAGGCCACCTTGGTCTACAGAGTGAGCTCCAGGACAGCCTGGACTACACAGAGAAACCCTGTCTTAATAAAACCAAACCAGGGCTGGAGAGATGGCTCCGTGATTAAGAGCACCGATTGCTCTTCCAGAGGTCCTGAGTTCATATTCCCAGCAACCACATGGTGGCTCAACCATCTGTAATGGGATCTGATGCCCTCTTCTGGTGTGTCTGAAGAGAGCGACAGTGTACTTACATAAATAAAATAAATAAATCTTTAAAAAACAAAACCAACCAAACAAAAAGACTTCCTCATGTTGTGGTAACCCCTAACTACAGAATTATTTTGTTGCTACTTCATAACTGTAATTTTGCTATTGTCATGCAACATAAATGTAATATAAATATCTTATATGCAACCTCTGTGAAAGAGTCCTTTGACCCCAAAGAGGTCTCCACCCAAAGGTTGAGAACTCCTGACCTAGAAGTACCAATAAGGTACCACCTGCCTTCAAAAGGACATTTCAGTAGAGAAATGGTTATAAAAAAGAATTCTAGTAATCTGACAAGCAAGGTGCCATGACAGTATCCTCTCAGCGCACAGCCATGTCAAGGGAAAATCTAGGCAGCTTAAGGAAGTGTTCCTGAAGAACACTAAGATCACTCAGAGGAAACTCTCTTTCCCCTAGTTAGTGGCGTGTCCTTTCTGATAGTGTACACCACACTTTCCATCGTCTCTGAGTGGAATCCGGCATACCCTTTCTGCACCAATCAATAAGCCATGTACATACGGAGAAGAGGAGCTTCTCCAGTGATCTTCATGGACCCTCTCATAGCTCTCCTATGTTTCCACATGGCCTTTTACTGTAGTACCCAGTACTAAGTCCAGCATTACAATGGTACCCAGAAGGATCTGAGTTTCTCTAATATCCTGGCATATGCCCCACAGGATATGAAGACTTATATAAATAAAATGATAAAGCCTCTTGAAACAGTAGGGGATACATACTAATAATTATTATCATTGATAACTGCTCGTTTGCAATAAATCCTGGTTTGCAAATCACAGATTAAATTCATTCATGTTACCCCTGAGTCCGTCTCATATTTCCCAAGCATAGAGCTAAAATTACCCAACAGGGAACGGGAGGTGGCCTAGGATGTGTGAGTTAACTCTCCTGGTACAAGGAGCTTAAAATATTCCCTGATATCAGCACCGATACTCACCTAGTAAAGTCTCTATGTTAGAAAAGGTGGTTATCCACCGAGAAAGCTTTAACAGGAGAGCTGGCAGTGTAGTTCAGTAGCAGAGGCCAAGCGTAGCATACACAAGGCCCTGTGTTCAATTTTAGTACCTCCCCACCCCCACCACCACCAAAAAAAAATTGTTAGAAGGAAACAAAAGGGTAGTAATCAAAAGCTTGACACAGATGTGGTACAATTGCGCAGTAAGAACACCCAGGATATCTCACTTTCAGATTTTGAACAATTTTGGGTCCTTTCTACATAGGAAAGAAAGTCAAGCAAGAAGTAACTGCTGAGCCAGGCACTAATGCTTGGAATCACAACACCTGGGAGGTGGAGGCAGGTGGAGCCAGTGCTCAAAGTTCTCAGTGCCACTGAAGCCAGCCTGAAAAGCAGACTTCAGTCTCAAGAAATAACTGGCTTCTGATGGAGGCGGCGGTGAGAATATGGGGGTTTGGTGGGGGGTGAGAAGGACTCAGTTACCTTTAAGGGGCTGGCCACCAGGAGTTTGGCCATGCTCCAGTGAGTATACAAGTCACTCAAATTGGACTTAATGTATTTTTTCCTTTTTTCTCTTTTCTTTGGTGAGGGCACAAGAGTGGGAGGACGGACCTGGGAAGAATGGGAAGCGAGTCTGATCGGGGTGCATTGCATGAAATTCCCAAATAATTAATAAAAATATTATGTTGAGAGTTTTTTAATGTCAAGCAAAACTAAGTGACGAGAAGTGGCTGCTGCCCATAATCAGAGACATTTCAAAATGCCAGCAGCAGCATCTCCATCCAATTTTAAACTGAAATATTGTACAATATTACTCAGGGGCACAAATCATTTATTCATGCTTGCCCCCAATAAAACCATATTTTCTTATTCATTAACATGAAGGCATGTTTCACATGGTTAATAAAAAAGGTTAATATGGACGTTTGGCTCTATTTGAAATGATACTGTAGATAAAAATTGGAAAAATATTAAGCCCTCCTTGAATCAGAGTTAAACTCAGAATTCTAGAGATCAGTGCAATAGTACGGCCATCTATTTTTCTGTTTTTCATTATTTACATTCACTTTTCACTTGGCATTTAGCATGATCAGCCCTGACAAAAACAATTTACAGGTAATTACTGAATTGGGTTGTGCAACGCAGCAGCCAGTAACTACACGTAGCTCTGGAGCATTCTAAATGTGCCTGATTCCCAATGAGATATGTTTCGAGTGTAAAATACACATTAAATTTCAACTAATTTTCAGAGTTTCAGAGAGAGGGGGGGGGGAATATGCCATTCACATTTAACATTAATTACATGTTGCAACGATACCATCTGAGCGTACAGGAGTAAGGATATTAAAACTAATTTCACCTGCCTTTCATTTAAGGCGGCTTCTGCACATCGACAATTACTTAAGTGGTCTGTAAGTTTTTGCTCACGTACTTTTTTATTGGACGGCGACGGCAGAAGAAGCAGGAGGGGAGAAGCGGACGTGCAATGGAAGGTAGCGTCAATTTTCTAAGAAGTTCCTGGAGGGCAAGACAGAAGGGCAGGGAGGAGGCTTGGTGGACGTGACCGTGTGTGTGTGTGTGTGTGTGTGTGTGTGTGTGTGATCACACCTTCACGCCTAGCGGGAACTGGAAGGCGGGGCGCGGTAGCATTCTGTTTGCACTCCCCTCCTCCGCAGACTACCGGGGAGACATCTACTGGGCTGTGTCCCGGGCCTCCTTCGCCGCCAGGCCTCGGGGTTCGGCCGGAGCGCTATCCCTGAACACACCTGCGTGCCCACGGAGGTGCGCGTCGGCGAACCCTGGCGCTGCGCCCACGCCCCCTCCCCCCGGATTATTTTCCTGGCCCCAACCGTCAGTCTCGCACTTTTCTCTAGAGGAACCAGAGAGAAGGTCGGAGTTGCCCGGTAAGCGTCCCCCCCCCCCCCCCGGCTATCCCACAGCCCGACCACCGAAGCGGCCGTCAGCGGAGCCGCCTGCTGGCCCGGACGCCGCTCGTCCAAGCGGCGGGGTGAAGCCGCGGCTGCCCGCCCACCCGCTAGCTAGCCACCCAAGCCAGCTCTCCGCTAACGCGAGCGGCAGTCTCCAGCCGGCGGGAGGGCAGCCGCGCCCGGGGCCTCCGGGCCGCGGGGGGCCGCTGTGACCCGCCTCGGCCCCACTGCGTCGCGGGCGGGCAAGGGGGCGGGCGGGGGAAGCAGGGCTTAAGGGTGAGCGTCCGTAAAGCCGAAGGGAGCCGGGGAGGCGGGCGCTGTGCTGCGGCGCGTCGGCGGGGGCCCGGAGCGCGGAGGACCGAGCAGGGCCCGCCGGCCTCCTCCATGAGGCCTGAGTGAGGCGCAGCGGTGACAGGCGGCCCTCGGCGCCTCCCGCGCGTCCTAATCGGAGCAGCGGCGGCGGCCCCGTTGGAGAGCAAGGAGCATGTCGGACAGTTTCGATCGGGCTCCAGGTGCTGGTCGGGGCCGGAGCCGGGGCCTGGGCCGCGGAGGGGGCGGGCCTGAGGGCGGCGGGTTCCCGAACGGAGCGGGGCCTGCGGAGCGGTCGCAGCACCAGCAGCCGCCGCCGCCGCAGCCCAAAGCCCCGGGCTTCCTGCAGCCGCCGCCGCTGCGCCAGCCCAGGACCGCCCCGCCGCCAGGGGCCCAGAGCGAGGCCCCCGCCGGCTCCGCGCGGCCTCCCCGGCCTGGGGCGCTCCCAGGTACGGAGCAGCTCGAGGGGCCCCGGTGCTCCTGGGCCAGCTTTCCCCCGCGGGCCTTCGCGCACGCCGAGCCCCGGCGCGCCGAATCCGCCCCCCGGTTCTCCGAAAGCATTCCCCGAGGGGCCGGCTCGGCACGGGGTAGGGACTAGCCAGGAACTGGGGTTTGGAAGGAGGTGGTGGCTGGAATCCTTTGTGCGCTCCGGCTGGGGGAGGGGCCGGGGCCCGGTGCTCGGTCTGGCGTCCCGGGAGGAAGTCAGAATCGTCTACCGCTCCCTAGTGAACCCGGGGCCCCAGGCGAACATCCACTTCTTAACCAACTCCTTACGAGAGAGGGAAGGGGTGGGAAAAGCCCTGGAACCTTCGTTTTGGAGGCAGGTACCTGCACTCACGAGCCAAAGCAAGGCTATTGTTCCGTTTTGCAAGCTCTTTGTACGACTCGTAAGGATCTTACGTTTTGTATTTAACTCCTAAAATCCGGAAGTTCTCAGACGGTTTCTAAATCTGTAGTAAGTTGTTATATACAAAGGAATGAATACATCTAGCACTGCTTTTTTTTTCTCTTTGCTTTTTTTTTCTTTTGCCTTTTTCTTTCTCAGAACAAACGAGGTCCCAGAAAGCTCCACCTAGTTCACAGGATAAAACCCCACAGCAGGACTCGGCAATGGCTAAGCCCCAGGTGGTCGTGGCCCCGGTGCTAATTTCTAAGCTGTCGGCGAACGCCCCCGAATTTTACCCATCAGGTTATTCTTCTAATTATACAGTGAGTACATTTTTTTTAAAACCTCCTACAACTCTTGTGTTAAAACTGTTGGAATAAAAGTGGTTATTCTTTTCACTAGAGTATGCTGGCTGCTTTCTGTACTACACACAGAAATATCTTATTCAGCGAAGTCATGATTCAGGAATATAATTTGCAGTTGTGTTCGAGGTATTAGAATGTAAGCTTGTGAGACTAGGAATTCTCGTCTGGCTCGTTTCACTGTTGTGTTCCTAGTACTTAGAAAGAATACATAAAATAACAAACCTGGTATGAAAAGCCCATTGTCAAGCATATTTTCAATTTGTAAAACTGAAATCCACTTCAGAACCTTCTAGATAACCTGTACAGTGAGTAGCAAGGAAAGCTTCCTTTAATTTGATTTTAGTCACATTGCAGAGTATTCAGTGTGGCTTTGAAGTAAATTAAATAGCTGTTGTGCTGTAAATGGGAAGTGTCATGAATATTGAGTGTGTGTCCATTATGTTAAAACAATGTTTTTGTTGCAGGTTACATATTATATGCAGAAATATTGTAAGCGTTTTTTGATTGGTTGGGTTTTGTCTTTATTTTGTTTGTTTTGACTGAGGCAGGCAAGGCAGTTGTTCTGCCTCAGCCCTCCAAATCTGGGATTAAAGTTATAACTTCACCATGCTTTATTATATAAGCGGTTTTGGCAACGAGTTTACAGAAATATAATATACATAGGTATAAAGAACTTTCCACACTTTAAATCTTTGTCAGTAATGCAGCAAATCTTAATTGGTCCTAGTTTTCAGATTAGTAGGAAGCATAAAGCATGCTTGAAATGTGTATAGGAAGAAATAAATTCATGTGCTTGCTAAACTCAGGTGAGTCAGTGTATACAGATTAACATTAGAAAGGGGAGGGGATAATAGTGGTGGCCTGAAAAGATGATTGGTAATACCTTAGCTGGAAGTCTCTCTTACTCTCTTTAGTTTACTGCAAACACAGTACGAACAAGGCTCAGCTCAAAGTTACCACTCAAGACAACTATGACAGCCAAATAGAAAAGTATCAACATCCGCTAAGCCCCATTCATCCCTAGAATTACCACTCATGCCTAAAGGTAACCACTGAGCTTTTTTATTTTAAGATAGTTTTGATATGTATTCCTTTTTTTTTTTTTTAAGATTTATTTATTTTATTTATGAGTACACTGTAGCTGTCTTCAGACACACCAGAAGAGGGCATCAGATATCATTACAGAAGGTTGTGAGCCACCATGTGGTTGCTGGGATTTGAACTCAGGACCTCTGGAAGAGCAGTCAGTGCTCTTAACTGCTGAGCCATCTCTCCAGCCCCTTGATATGTATTCTTAATTATCCTTGAACTTGATATCCTCCCACCCCAGCCTCTCCGGGCTGGCCTGTTCCCAGTATTTGGATGTGAGTACTAACTCACCATTTGGACAAAGTAGTTTTCCAAAGCTTACATAAATGAAGTATTTTAGATTGTTGTTCTAACTCTACATCTAAATTTATATTGTAACATAATAATTTGAGATAATTTATTCACATCACTTGACTGTATCAAGGTTCCATTTGTTCATTTATCAATAGATAGGTTCTATTTTGGGGCTGTTGTGCTGTCTCTGTCTGTGTCCTGACTGATATATGCCTTTATTTCTGCTTGGTAAAAATAGAAGTACAGGCCAGCCTGGTCTACAGAGTGAGTTCCAGGACAGCCAGGGCTACACAGAGAAACCCTGTCTCAAAAAAACCAAAAAAAAAAAAAAAAGTAGAAGTACAGTAGCCAACATTAATAGAATCAGCCATCGTCTCTAAGAAGACCTTCCCAGTCTACACTCCTCACAGTGTCTGATTTGCCGCTTGCTGTTCTTTCTAGTCAGCACTGGGTATTTTCTGTTTAGCCATCCCAGTGGTTATGGTCTCTTAAAATTAATGATTGCATACTTTTTATAATCTGTATTTGGTTCTCTTCATGTTTGACCAGTGTGGAGACTGCGTTTTGTAGAAATAGAGGCTCTAGACATCTTTTAGCTTTGGGATTAGACAGGAGACAGTCTGAGTGTGGCAGGAAGGACCGTTGATTTGGTGAGGAAAGCCATTGTTCCGAAGATTAAGTAAGAGTAGCTTGGCGTGTTGTCAGGGTTGTATTTGCTCAGAAAGGGAAGGAACCATTGAGTAGTTGAATAAACCCTTAAGAATAGTTGCTTTTTAGCAGCCAAAACCAGCTACCCATTTATTTTCTTTCCTGTTGCTGTGGACTATTTTATCATGGGAGGAATATAGTTTGGTTTTTTGTTTTTCCTTTTCAAAGTCCTGAGTAAAGTTCAAATGACCCTTCAATTTTAAGTATATTTGTTTGTGTGTATGTGCAGGTGAGTGTGTTTGTCTGAGCAGGCCAGAGGGGTCAGATCTTTCTTGTTGGAGCTGGATTTACAAGATGGTTGTGAATGGCTAATGTGGATGCTAGGAAAGGAACTGGGTCTTCTGCAGGAGTGGCACATGCTCTTCTTTCTTTCCCCCTTAATGACTTATTTTTATGTGTATTAGTGTTTGTCCTGCATGTATGTTTGTGTGAAGGTGTTGGATCCTCTGGAACTAGGATTATATATGACAACTGATCGGCCATGTGGGTGTTGGAAATTAAACCCCAATCTCTGGAAGAGCAGCTAGTACTCTCAAACACTGAGCAACCCCTCAAATCCTGTGTTATATGCTCTTAATCAACAAGCCATCTTCTCTACCCCTCCACCACTGCCTTTGAATCAGTGTTGTATTTAAGAATTCTTTGGTATATTTATTAGTGCAACAGTTTCTCTATTCAGTGTACCAAAACAAATTATGAACTAGAAGCTTCTTTGGCCCTGTCTGACCTTTTTTTTTAAAAGACAGTTTTAATTAGTTGCCAGCATTTAAATTGGATATTGAAAAGTCTATATTTACTAGTTTCTGTTCAGATCATAAGAAGTAGCCAGAGTGGACTGGACTTCTGAGAGCAAAATTGGTTGAAGCATAGTGGGATGAGCATAACTGTCTCCTCCCCGAATGACTTCCTTGTTGTAATTCTCTTGAATTTCATGGATGAGTGCTTGGGCTTGCTACTATGCCCCAGTACATTTTCTCAACTTTACTAGTTTACACTAGTATCTACTCATAGTCCACGTTAAATGTTTTTCAGTCCATTTAGTACAGAACAAGAGAATCCTCATTGGTCTCAGCTCTTCAGATAAGTTCCTATAAAGGAATCTTTTCTGTATAATAGCCATGTTCCAAAGTAAGCTAGACTCACAAGTTCCACATAGAGTTTAATACTTATGCTGGGTCAAACACTGGTCAGATAGTACACAGCAGAGAAAACTGTCTTTATGGAAGCTCTTCTCTAGAAATCTTCCTGTTTTCAGAAATCCTTGAGTCTGTTCTTTTATACATAATTGGTTCAGTGAGATGGCCCCACAGGGAAAGGCACTTGCTGTTGAGCTGGTGACCTAAGTTCAGTTCCTGGGACCCACATGATGGAGAACCAATTCTCACAAGTTGTCCTCTGACTTCCACAAGTGTGCACACGTGCATGCGCATAGAAAACCTTTATGGTGGCTTTTGGTGTGCCTTTTTAGTTACTGTGCTCTTAATCTTAGTCCTTGCTCTAGTTCTGCTGCTAGAATTTCCTCCCTTTCATACTGTCTTAGCAAGTTACTGTATCCATCTCTTCATGGTTGCTTCTTAGACAAATTAATGACTGAGTATTTAATCATAGTTTACTTACCAATAAAAAGGTTCCATATAGGATCTCATCAAACACTTGTTAAGAGATGAAAATGTTAGTATATCACCACACCATCACCATCAAAAAAGCTTTTTTCCCCTCTAAAAGTATCTTCCTTCAAGTTACTACTGCTGCTTTTTTTTTCTCTTAAAAAAATTATTGTTGGTACTGTGTAATGCTTAATAAATGCAAATGTTTGCAGTTTGATCCCTCTAGGTATGTTGATACTATTTTTATGACTGTAAATGATGTTCCTCTGTTTTTAAATGTGTAGTCATCTTAACCTGCCTTCATTTTAGGCCCCAACACAGCATAATCTGTTCAGTTTAAAAAACTGTGCTATTTCCTGTGGTATATGTCAGAGTTACCTTTAGTAGTCTTTAATAAAATCTATTTTATAGTTCTATTAGAACTACGTATTTAATGTTACTAGTTTTGTGCTGTCTTTGTGTATAATCTCCTTTACTTCCAAGACTTTGCACCCACCATTCTTTTTCAGACTGTAACTGTGACCCTCACCCTGGGCATCCCATTCCTCACTTAGCTGTCCTTTGATTTCTGAGCTGAAAGTTCTCTATCGTCCTTCTTCTCAGATTGAAGCCTCTCATGTTTTTCCATGTTATTACCTTTGTGAATCCTGCCTGCTCCCAGGTTCTGATACTTTCTCATGTACAAATAACCCTCAAATCTCATTCTTTAGAACTCCAGGCTTTGTAGCTCCATTTTTTTTAAAAAAAAACTTCATAAGGATCTCATATTTAAAGTATAAAACATTTATCTTCTCTAGATTTTTTTTTTTTTTCTAACAGGGTTTGGGCAGAAACTTAGCTGTGTTGACTCACCTCCTCATCCTTTTCGTGGTTCAGTCCAGCTAACCTAAGTAGTCTGAATTATTCCAGTCTCAGTCTCTGCTCAGGTTCCTCTCCCATTGCCTGGGATTAGGTTCTCCTAACAGTGCAGTGCATAGTGACTACCTTCATGAAAGGTATATTTGTAAAGTAGTGGTCCCTCATAATCTCTTTCCATAGAATTCCAAGGAAAACAAATATTCACTGGGAAGTTAGCTGTCTCCATGTTGAAGGCAGAAGTCTTTGAAAAGGTCTGGTGCTAGAGAAGTGTTGTAAGCTGTGACTCAAGCATAGGAGGAATGCCTCTGTTCAGAATACTCTGTAAGAGTGTGTACCTAGGTCTCTCCTCTGTTTGTTCAGAGCAGCTTTGCTTTACTTACCAGACTTGAATTCTGTTTTAGAGAGTTCTATTGACTTTATATAAAGCTGAAATTGGACACTGTAAACTGTGCTTTTGTTGCTGTAAATGACATTTGATAGAAAAATAAGTTGTTTCAGCTGATATTTTCAGACTCATGTCATTATATTAATATGATTCTTTTGACTCTCTAAAACTAACCACACACACCAAAACCTTATTAATTCTGAAACTCTGAGATAGGTAATACACATATCAATATGTGTGTTTTTATGCTTAACTGCTTTCACAACTGTTCAGTAAAGTGGAAGTATGTATTTATGATATGAACGTGTTTTCACTCCAGATGGTTAAATTGCAGAAATGTTAGGTCTGTACAAATAAGTCCCTTTCCTTAAAAAAAAAAGATTATGTATGCTCTTTTTATTTAACAGATTATCTTGGGACTGTTTCTGGAAGGATGGATATGTATATCCTGCCATATATATTTTGTATATCAATTCTGTCTTGTTTTCTTAAGTGGCTATATATGAAAGCACATTATATAAATGTAATTTAATCTTGCTTATAGATTGTTAGATATGTTTCTTGGTAACAGGCACACTTTTTTCTTTTTTTTTTTTATTGGATGTTTTATTTACATTTCATATGTTGTCCCCTTACCCCATCCCCCACCCACCCAGGACAGATACACTTCTATAGTGTCAAATTTGTGTTCTAAGATTTTGAGAATAGTTTAGAATATAAAAGTACAATTTTTAGTAGCTTTGTTATTATATACAAATTATTTGACTTGTGTGCAGTTTATCTTTGTATAAACTCCCCCCTCTGCATTTAATTAGCCTTCTTAATCTGTCACCAAAAACAAAGCCTGATCTGACTCCTAACAGCCACTATCCCTTCCACCCCTGTTTCAGTATTGACTTTCTTCCTCAAAAGTATCAAGCCAAGTCCCTCCTCTCTCTTTGGAACCAACATTCTGCATGTGCTGCTGCATAGGATATCTTGCCACCAATTTCTGATGAGTTGTGAGGGGATTTCGTTTTGCATGTTTTGTCAGTTCAGGTGTTAGTTCCTACTTTAATTTTTTTTAATAATCTGTTTTATTTTATATATATTGATGTTTTGTTAACATTAGTATATATGGACCACATGCATACCTGGTGCCTGAAGAGATCAGAAGGCGGCACTGGATCCCCTAGTACAGGAGTTAAACAGGTGGTTATAAGCTACCATGTAGATGCTGGGAACTAAACCCACATCCTCTACAACAGCAACAAGTGCTCTTAACCACTAAGCTTTTTCTACCAACTCCCAGATATTGTCTCTCAAGACTCTGTCTGGCCATGCTTTCCATAGTTACTTCCACAACTGAATGCACCGTGTATCATGGTATTATGAGAACTTTAATTTTGCCTGCTGTACACAGCAGGTACTGTATCTTAGAAGTAGTTTGAGCACCTATATAGTTTGTCACTTAGCAGGCACTCAGCATGTAGTTTGATTTGAGATTCAGTCTTATTGTGTAGTCTAGACTGACCTGGAACTACTGAGCAGTCGGTCTAGTGCTGGAGTTAGTGGTGTGTCTCTTGAAGGGCTGTGAGGTACCGTTCTATCAGAAAGAATAGCTCCATCACAGGAAAGTTTGACCTTGTGTACTACTTTTTTTAACTCACTGACTCTAGAACTTATAGTCCTTCATAAACTGCTTCTTTGTTTTTCTTATTATTTCTAATTTGAGTTTACTTGAAAAAGGATAAATCTCATCAAGCTTGTATGTATTTGAGGATAACAGATAAACTTTAGTATGCTTTGGATAGTATTCCATGTGATGAGAGCAAGAAGGATGTTATTCTAGCCTGCTGTAATTTTGCATAATTGTATCAAGACTCCTGACATTAATTATAAGGTTAGCAGTTACCAAAAATGGAATATTTCAGTGGGAAAAATAGTATTTTAAAACTACTGCTACTATCCAGATTGGTTGGAAATCTCATAAAGCATCCAGAAAGTCTCTTGCCATGTACATTATGTTGTAATTTTATACTTAAACATTTAAATATGTTTCTCCTTCCTTGGGTATCAACAAATAAATGACATAGCATACTAATTTTGGGGGGTATTTTTTTCTTTCGATTCAGATGTAGTCTTAAACATATACAAGGGTATACAGAATAGTATACTATACTATACTATACTATACTATACTATACTATACTATACTATACTAT